CCGTGCTCACCCTAGATTTCTGAGGCCCCTCAGCTTCCGGAGCCTGTGACAGAAATCACTTCGCGGCAGTTAGAAACTGCTGCGCGGTGTTTTCTTGCCACGTGCGCGGCCGCGCAGTCGCGCACCTTAGAGGGAACAGTGCTGGCTTTAAGTTTGCTTGTCAGAAGGTTGCAAAAGGGGATCATATGACCCCGGGACTGTCAGAAAGATGAGTCACTTGCCAAGCGTCTGAATTTTGACCACATGACCACAGGGATGGTGCAATGGTTTTAAGTGTGGAAAACACTGATAATGTTGTGGTCTGCTGGCGGCCAGTGGAGCTGGCAGCAAATTTGGACAGTGAGGAGGTTGGGAGGGAACATGGGCCAGTCCTGGAATCTGGGGAAGGCTCGGACGAGGGCTCTGCATCGGAGGCAGAGAGGGGGCCAGGACCAGCTGGGAGTTATGTGCTGCCTCCAAAGCCTCCAGAATCAGAAATCAGTGAGGCAGAGGAACGGGGGGAGCCTGTTCCCAGTGCGTGCATGCGCAGAGCTGCCAGAAGGCAAGAACAGTTAAGGCAAAATGGATGACTTGGGAGCAAGGCTTGGAGATGATTGGCCCCTCTCAATAAGACATAAAGGAGGAGTAAAGGCATGTGAGCCTTTGCAGGAAGCAAATTTGTTCGATCTGGTCGGTTTAAAGTCTTAAGCTCTGTTTTGACTCTGTGCTCTGTGTGGCCTTGCAAAGCTAATTGCCAATTAAGTCTTTGGCAGTGTTTCAAGGGAGATAAAGGTGGGTGCTTATCAGCCTTATCCCGAAAGACTTTGGCAGACTTCTGTCGGACTCTTTACAAAGAACATAATTCACAGCTATTGAAATAAAAAGAGGATTTTTGGGACTAAGCGTGTGCTTTTTACTGTCTCCGGAAGCCTAGGTCAGAACACATAAGTCATTTTTTTTCAGTGTCATTGTAATGCTGAACGGACACTAAATGAATTGTTGTAAGTGGAGGACTACCTGTACTTAGGATCAAACTCACAGCTCCTGATTACAAGGCAAGTGCTCCACCTCTAGGACACCACGCCGTTCCCCTTCTGCCTTTCTATAATCCTCTGAATCTACTCCAGAATTATCTGCTGCAAAACATTCTGCTCTGGGCCATCCTCTTGATTGGCATAGACCACAGGTGTCAAACTAAAGGCCCCACAGGCTGAATCCAGCCCGCGGGGTGCTTAAATCTGGCCCACGGGGCTAGCCTGGAAATAGCAAAGGAGCAGCCCGCGGTGCCTTTGGCAGCCAAAATGGGGTGCGGGGAGGCTGTGTGAGGTCCCTTCTGCACTCCATTTTCAGCCTGGACGCACATGGACCACCACGGGTCTTTTTTGGCTGCCAGGGTGCTGCAGGAGGCATCCGTTCCATCTCCCTTCCTCCCCCTGCCCCGGCCGGGCCGCAGAGAAGAACTACAATGCTGATCTGTCCCTCGAAGAAATCCAGTTTGACACCCCTGCCATAGACACACAGGAAGCTCCACCATCTCCTTAGCAGAACCTCTGGGTTTTATGTGGTGAGGGTACTGGTAGTACACGGCTTACGCTAATTGGGAGCTGAATTTCTGTCGCTAAGCAAGGTGGTCGTTAGGCAAAACCACAGGACTGTATTGCTCAGTGACATTAGTTCCAGTAGACCCCGTTGCGGTCATTAGACTAGGCCAGAGACATCATTAGGCGAAGACACACATTTCTCCTGCTCTCCTGCCTCTCCTTGCTGCCGTTGACCTTCACCATCTTCTTCCTCCTCCTGCTGGTCTGGGATCAAGGTGCTGGGCGAGGGTGCATCCCTGGAATGTACATGGTGATAGGACACTGGAGCAGCCTTGTCTGCTGAAGGGAGTTTGCCAGGCCCAGCCAAGGGGGAGGCAGCGGGACAGGGAAGCACGTTGCTCCCCATTAGCAGGCCAGGCAGGGGAACAAGTTGGGAGGCCGTGTGGGAAGTCTGTTTCAGGTGGCAGCAGAATCGGAGGAAAGGGGCTTTCCTGGAAGCGTAGTGTGCATTCAGCAGCTGGAAGCTCTCCTGGACAATTGGCCCACAGGCTCCCTGAGAAGGATGGAGAAGAGCCCTGAGCTGGCAGAGCCTATCTGCAGGTCCTCTTCTTACTCTTGAGCAGGGGTGTCAAACTCGATTTCATGGAGGGCCACATCAGGGTTATGTTTGACCTCGGGGTTGGGGACTAGGCATGGCTGGGGTGGGCATGGCTGAAGTGGGCATGGGCCAGTTTGATGTCACACGTGTCAGGGGTACCTGTGGTGGCCAGGTTCTAAGGCAGGACTTCCCTCAGACCCTCCCTTACTCTCATTATAATCTTCCTTCCTTCCTTTCCTTCCTTCCTTCCTTCCTTCCTTCCTTCCTTCCTTCCTTCCTTCCTTCCTTCCTTCCTTCCTTCCTTC